GAAACGTCAGGCGAATAAACGTATTGTCCCAGCAATCGAGTCTTCTTCTTCTGTGTACAAATAGTCTACTGATTAATCTTAGTAGATACTCTGTTCCTGTTTTATTACCGCTGAACTATCGCAAACATCAGCCGGGTAGAATGGGAATAATATCCTAATATAGCCATGCAAAATACGGGTAGCGCCTTCAATATCACTAAGGAGCCAGGATGAAAGTTATCTATCGTGCTCTTTTTGATATGGCCAGTAAAATGGCATACCACTTATGTCTCGGGATGGCGCATTAGAGCAGTGGGCTAATCTGTGAATTGGATGCGGACACTGATTAAACGTCTTCTGTAGTTGCGTGTTGAGGAAGCATATCGCCGCGGGCGAGTAATTTCGAGCAAGAATTATGCGCACGCATACATTTCTTCGGCCGTCTAAGTATGATTCTTGTTCTTGCTAGACCTGAAACAACCCCTTGGAAGTGATCACAAGATGTCAGCGCAGATGACCTCCGCACCTGCAAAGCGAATTACACCAGTTGAAAACATGAGCGATCACTCTGGTATTTGCCAGTAGAAGCGAGTTGTGGGGAGCGAACGTGAAGAAGGGAACGCAGTCATGGCTGAAAGAGCTTTATCTGCCCGATGCTTCAGCTTCGCGCACGCGTCCACTATTAGAGTGATTTCTACAAACGCAAAACGTAAAATCAATAAAGTGTTTGCTCCAGTGATCATATCTCATTTTTTGCGATCATTCTGATAGTAAGGGGCTGCTGTTTGTGGACGACGGAGCAGTACTGCATAAAGGACAGCAAGTTCTGCCAAGCCGTTGGAAGTCCCTACTGTAGCATTAACACAAATAGCGGAGCCGATAAGGGTCATGTCGAACAAACAGGTCATTCGAGCAAAAGAAATAGTTTTTTGCCATTATCCAAAATTAATAAGGCTAATTTTGATACATTAATCAGCCTAAGCGCATCGCTAACTATCGTTGGTTAATGCTTTTTCCCTCTCTTCCAAACTGTCAGTGACTTTCACGAATTTCCCGCACCCCACGTAAATAGCACCCCTGTTCTTGGTCATTTTCTAGTTGGGTATCAGCTTTGCGTATAGCTTTCTTAGCCCGAGAACAAAATATCGAAAACTTTGTGCATTTTTTGTGGGAACACACTCCATCTGAGACGTCGGCTGCCCAGCCAGATTTGTACGGGTTTTGCCTACGCCCCGCGTTGGCTCGTGTTCCCGCGCGCCTATAACCGTCAAGGCCAATTGGGGATTGGTCGATTAGCATGACCTTGATGCGCATC